TTCAGGGCACAGGTTTTCACCCCCAGAGTACTTAACCAGTCCCCCTGGCTTTGTTGTTGTCTCTGCTGCACCACAGCATCTATTCCTGGGGTGGGATCAGGGCCGTCCAGGGCCACTCGAGTTATTTATGGGCTGATTTGGGGAGGAAATGGAGAGTGTTTTTCCAGCTTATATTTTCAGCCTGGCAGTTTTCAGTCCAGAGGGGCAAATTCGGGCTATTTGTAAGAGCCCAGGGACAGATGCAATTCCCCTGAGTTTCCCTCCCTGCCCAACCTCAAGCCTGAAATCTGACTTTGAGGTCAGACAGGGGCACAGATGCCACAGCCCCTGAGGAAAATGGGCCCTGCTGCCTGGGGAGGCTTCAGAGCTCCTGCCCAGCTGCTGCTGAGGGCTCAAGGACTCTCTAATTCTCCTGCATTCTCTAAAGATGAGGCAGAACTGGCTCATTTTTCTGTCATTTTTGGCATTCCAGTTTGCAAAACCCAATGGCTTTTTTGCAGGGGGTGATACAGGTAGATTGACTTTGGAAGCACCACATTTTGTAGAGAAATTAACCCAATTCAGCACAATTTGAATCCAAAGAGTCAAATGCTGGATTTCAGAGTAACTTTAACTCCCAGTCATGCAGTTCACTCAATACCTTCCCAGTTTATCCAATCAAATCCCTGCATTCATCTTTCCAGGAACAAGGCCCAGAAGGGAATGGCTGGGAAGGGATAGGAGGGCCTGGAGAGCTGTTCTTCCTTGTCCAAGATGTTAAAAATGGCTCCAAGAGTAGAAAACATCTCTGGAGTCCCAGTTCAGGGATCTGCAGACACGGCTTGGGCTTTCAGTGCCAGCAAAGTAACCCTGGAAAATATTAAATATGTTAGAAACAGGCTGAAAGGAGAAGTTATATTAACAAGAGATGTCTCTCTGAGCTGTATCGATTTTCAGCTCTGGGTGGAAGAAACTCTCCAGACAGACATTTAAACATATTATTGTCTTCTATTTCCTCAGCAGATCTACCTAACACGCTTTATGAGAGGAGCTGAGGAGGGAAGAAGTCAATTAAAATCTGAATCTCCTGCAGTTAGAGAAGATTAAAATAACCCCTGTTTGTTACACTGAGCTCAATGCTCACACCCAAAGCACAGGAGCACCTGAACCTCCCTTTGAATCCAGGACTGCACTTCCCTGAACATGTTCTGAGAACTGGCCTGAGCTTAACAAAGTCCATAAACAACATTCTTTTGCTCACCACGCTGCCAGTTGTTCAGCACGGGGTGGGTGGCAGTCAGGAGGCAGCTCCTGGGCTGGACACAGCACATCCTACGCTGCTTTCTGAAGGGTTTTTCTGTCTGTCAGGGCTGAGGTAATGATGAGTGAATTCAAGAGCAAGTTCTGCACCAAAGAGAAACCATTTGCATGATGAATTTATGGGACTTTCCCGAGCTGTGTGACTTTGTGTGAGTCACTTTGTGCCTCAGTTTGCCTCTTGTCCAGTGCAGACATGGGTATTGTCTTCTCTCTGAAGTACTTTCAGATCTGCAGGCAAAACTCCATTAAAGGGGACTGAAATAAAAAGGCAGTGACCATCCTAAAGAGGTTCTCTAGGAAGAAAGCAGTTCTTTTCACACTCATGTTTCAGCCTTCTGCCAGCTGGACTCCCCCAGTTTATTCCAGGAAACACTCTGGCAAAAGAATCCCTACCTGGATACCATCAAATAAGGACTAGCACGTTGTCCTGTCAATAAATACATTGCCAGGAGCAATGCAAATGGGAATTTTTGCTTCACTAAATGTCAGTTTGATGTGCAAAGCTTTCTGATTCCATCAAGCTTTTTCCAGGATGCCTGAGGTAGCTGCTTGATCTTCCTCAGGTTTTCCTCTAAATGAAGGCTTCTGCTCCCTTACGTGCAACAGGCACAGGATTAAGTATTGGTAGCAGAGCAAATACTAAAAATCCGTGTATTCTGTAGGTTAGTGAGCAACAGAAAGGCCAGAATCCATGGCCTGGTACTGACATTTTATTTAACATAACATTTTGCACAAAAAAGAGGCGCTGGCAATGCACAAAACAGATCTTGTGCATTGGTAGCACATCTGGGAAGTAGGACTGAACATACACAAGTGTGGACACTGAAGGGAAATGCTCAAGAAATGCCATTAGACCAAAATCTGCTCCCTTTGGTGTCAGTGAAGTCCCACTGTCCTAATCCCAGTGCCAGGAGAGGTGTCTGAGTGGGACCATCTCTGTACAAAAGGGAAAATAAAATATAAGTCTCCCACTGAAATCCTTATAGGGGATATAGGACTTGGATACAGGAATTAGAAGAGAAGTAGGAATGCAGAGGAAAATAAAAATTCTGTGTTCTTCACACCTCAAAATGCAGGAAACTATGCATGCCAAAATCTGTGCAGAAAATGAAAAGCCAATCAAATGAAGGCCCAAATGATGCAGTAAAGGGGCTGTAAATGCAGGCAGGTGCAGGGGGAATTTGAATGTAAAACAGTCAGAGGTAATTAAAAAGTACAATGGATATTGTGTTAAGAGTATTAGGAAGTAAATGGGAAATGGATGAGTTAAAAAGAGAAAGGAAAAGATCAATAGTGAAAGAGAAGTAGTTAAATAAAATTGCATTGAAGATGTACCAAATGTCTTTGTTGGAGCCTGGTGTGACTCAGTGACCTCGGGATGCTGTGCTGGTTAACAGGGAAGGTGTTCCCGGGGCTCCAGGGGAAGGTGCTGCAGGAAGTGTCAGAGGAAGCAGCACCACATTGCCAGGCAGGGAGGATATTTAGCCAAGAGTCTGGAAGGAATTTGGGAGTGCAGTAGCTGAGTCAAGTTGAATTTTTACAGACTCATTACAACCAGTAAATATCTCAGAAAGTGCAGAGCAACATCTGTCTCGTATTCCAGCCACTTCCCAGTACTTCCTGCTTTGTTTGAAATGGGAATCCAGGCTGGAATGTGGAGGCATCTTGGGTAATGCTTTCCAGGAGGAAGGAGCCAGGCCACCTTTTGGAAACACAGGCTGGAGTCAGTGCTTCCACTGTGGGTCTTGTAACAAACTGCACCTGAACTCGCTTCTGTCCAGCTCTTTAGGACATCTGTGTGCTGCTGAATTGGGCACAATAACTTCCCTCCTTGGCCACACTCCACACAGATCCCTGGTTTCTGCACAATAATAACGAAACAAATCTCATTACATTATGTTCATGAAGTAACAGAGTGGGACTTCTAAGATTTTGGCAGTTGTGGACTTTGTTTTCTGTTTCTGTTTGCTTTGTGGAAATAGGTGGGATTCCCATTACTTTTCTCATTATTTTGTGGATACACACAAAAACATTGCTTTGATTAATAGGCTGCAAATTGTAATAGAAGGATTTTCTGTCTAACAGGCTTCCAAATCCTGCAGAACATCTAGGAGCTGCTTCTCAAGATAATTCCATCATTTAGAGAAAAAAAAAAGGAAAAAAGCAAGAGGCAGATGTCTTTTCACCTTCTATCCACCTGTTAAATAAATTTGTCATTTCTACAGCCAATTCGGGGAAGGAATTATCGGATCCTTTCCTTGGAGACCCAAGTGTAACCCTGCAGGTCTCTGGGGTCAAGCTCATGCCTCCTCAGGAAAGCTCCCTGCACAATTTGCTAGTCAGGGCAGTCATTATCAACCAGCCTGGCACAGGCCTCCAGGGCTTTCCCATTGCCCAGGCTCTGAACTGTGCTGCCCATTCCTCCTCTCACCAATTATAAGTTCTGTACAGTTTTTTAAAAGACTGCAAAAACATATCAACATCATTCCCTTCCTTGTAATGAGGAAGCAATTTTACCTTATTATAACTGACTAAATATGCATGGGCTGACCCAGTAGGACCCTCATTCACCCTTATTCTTTCCCTCTGGAAATCATATTCCATTTTCATCGTTTCCATTTCAAATTTCTCTTCCTCCCCATCCTTCCTCTGCGCTCCCTCTTGATCCCATTCTTGTTCCATCTTTGTCTTTCCCGTGCTGAATTGTCACTCCTCACGCTCCTGCTCTCATTACAACTTCCTTTGTGTTTGATGCTCCCTCACAACCATTTGCAATCGTCTCCTTTTTTACCTTGAGCCTTTTTAACACCTGGCTTAGCATTTATGCAGAGGATTTGCTGCTCAGGCTTCAATTAGTTGATAGGTGGCATTAATGCTGTTTCCTGCCTCCCCAAATGGAATTCCCCACTGAGTTACTTGGAGGACTCCCAGTGTGGACCTGGATCCTTCCCATGGGTTTGTGTGTAGCTGTGGCTCTGTCTGGAGACCACAGGCCAGACTGGGAGGGAATTTATAGCTTGGTGAAAATCACTTTTCAGCCTCCTTAGCAGCATCTGTTGAGATTGTTTAGCAGAGCATGTGAAACCCGCTTTCCCAAAATGCTGCACATTCTTCATTCCCCAGGCCTTGGCAGGGGAGTGAGGGAGGTGCTGCAGAGTAAGACAAGGAGGCTCTGAAATGCCTCAGAAAATCTATGCCCTGAAAAGTGCCCTGGGCCTTAATGTCAAAGATAAGAGGGCACATCAGGGCTGTGAATCCTGGTGACCACTGGAGATAACTCCCAGCTGGTGTCAGGTTGGTCTTGGATCTTGCATTTACAGAAGTGAGAGAGCTTTGAGAGCTTTCCCTGGGATAGACTGGCAGTCCAGTCAGTGAGGACCTGACCCAGGTGCCATGGAAGGGAAAGGAACAGAGACACTCCCAAAGCTGGCAAAGGCTCTTAGACCACCAGACGTTCCCAGCTGCCCAAATCCTGCACGCAGATGTGGTGAACACTCAGTGCCCACAGGGGACAAAGGGAAATAAAGACTGGACAGGTGGGAGGTGTGAGCAGACAGGTCATAAAGCCTCAGACTGAGGCACTGCCCCTGTCCTGTGACAGGCTGAGGGCATGTAAACCAGTCCTGCCAGGCTGGGTTACTGCACTATGGACAGAAGGGGTTTTGTTTTGATTGACCAAACTCTCTTTTTCTATGTTTTATGCCCCATGTGTGTGTCATTTGACATTTGAAAAATATTGCTCTCCTTTCAGCATTTGAAAAGCACGAGAAGCAGCCACATTTTCACATGCAAGTCAGATCTCTCCTGATCTCTGGCAAGGTGAGTAGCCCAGCAAACCTTGGCTGTAGGTGGGGGAGACAGGAAAATGAGAGTGAAAACATCCAGATATCTTTGTAACGTGACTTCAGCCTGAGGTGGAGTGTTCCCAGCCACACATTTCTCTGGGGGTGTGCATCTTGTTTGGAGGAGTTCAGGCTGAGAAAGGATCAGCCTGGATATTTCCCTTTATTGATCTCTGCTCATGTTCACACGTGCAGGGAAATTCTCTCTGTGCAAACAAGCTGAACTAATAGAGCCAGTGGAGTGAGCATCTCTTAACAGCTCCTTATTATCATCTGTCTCCTCTTCAGATGTTTTCTGCTGTGCCACACATCGAGCTCTGTCTGCTGGAGAAGTAAAAAAGGTCAAATGAAGGTGAGAACACTTCATTCATAATTTTTATGAGTTATTCAGACCCACTGTATCATTACCCCTCGGAAACATATGTTTTCTGATGGCACTTTAGAAAATATTCAGCACATCTCGACAGTCTCTCCTAAGTGATACAGATCAGTTGTCACACTTTGTCATGTGGCATCAGGTTGTGCAGTGCAGTGAATTTGCTGTGGTGTGATGTATTACAGCCATTTGAGAGCCCATCCTGATAATTCCTGTGTCTCTAAAGGTAATGCTGCATGATGTGTCTTCCCGGGAGTCAGAAGTGTTTTAGTGTATCCCCATTGGAGTTACAATTTAAAGGTTTTCTCGGGAAATACTTGGTCACCCACCTCCTACTCACTCTGATATGAGCATGTGAAACATAACTTTTCATTAAATAGTTATCTCAGAAGGCATAGGATTTTTTGGCTTTTCAAGGTGTGTATTCTCAAACCCCCTTTTTGCCCAGGGAAGCTGCACCTCCCACATCCAGGTGTTTGAACTTGGCGTTTCTCTGAGGGAATCCCAGGGACTGTGCTGCCATCAAAGGCAGGCAGAGGATAAAATTTTGCCGAATAATCCTTTCTGTTTGCTGTTGTCTTACAAAAAAAATTAATGCCCATAACTGGGTTTAATTTCATTCACTTTCCAGAGAAGATTTTCACAGTAAAATTTTGCAACAGTTGGACAGGGACATGAACTAATATTCTGTTAATTTGTGATAGTTCTCTGTTTGGATCAGAGTTGAGCCACTGAAAGAGAAAGCTCTTTAAAATTATGTGTAACCCAGACCATTATGAAGGTTATCAACATCTCAGCTATCAGGAAGGGTAAACTGGACAGGGCACACAAAGCTGCATTCCCAGCTCCATGGTCACCCAGTTTGTTGGGACCAAATCAAGCCTTCATAATCCCAGGTGCACAATGTAAGGCTCACGTATTTAAATCTGGTTTCCTAAACCAAATGTACATATTGAATACGGCCCCAAAACCTCTTGAGTGATGTCTGACAGGTCACAAGCAGCCCCTGAATCCTCCCCCACACTCAGGCCCTCACTGTAACACGGGTGAGCTGAAGGAACCCTTGGTTGTTTGTGCCCCCAGTTGGTGAACGCTGGAAGAGTTCACTGGAGGTGAAGCTTTCCAGCCTTCCAAAATAATCCACCTTTATCCCAGCACTCAGAATGGTTTAGAAAAAAAAGGAAATGGTGAGAGTTTACTGCCTCATTTACAAACATCTGCTTGGCAAGGAGAGTTTTATTGTGGCTGTAAGAGCTGACAGAGGCTTAAAGGACAGGGCTGTGCAGCTCCCTCGTGCTGAGCTCCGGGGTGAGAACAGCACTCACTGCTCCTGGCCTGGGCAGAACAGGTGGGAGAGCAGAGACACCACATTTATTTGGGATGTCCCAGTGGCTTTCCTTGCTTTTCTTGCTAATTGCACCCTCTGAAATGCTGCAGGGCTGGAAGGCTGGAGGCCCTTCTCTCAGTTGCCCCATAACACTGGCCTTAAACATAATTCTCTTTAGATCTCTGTGCCTTGCAGTGCCAACTCTGTGGGGCCCCACACAGGCAGAGGGGCTTTGCTTTATGATGAACACATTTCTGAACCTCTGCAACCCCTTGGTTTCCCAGTCTCCTGCTGAACATTATGAGGTTTGTGGAGGGCTGAGCCAACATATAAGGTGCCATTATGGATTCTGAGCCATCCATTCCAGCGCTTAACTGCATCTGCTTTCCTACCACCACCTCATCAGTGGCAATTTGGAAACTGTAACCACAAAACAAGTAGCAGGCCAAGTGTGTAACCAGCACATCCAAATGATCTCAACCCCCTGGTTTCTATAGGTTCTAATAGCCTAATAAATGGGTTTTTGGTACTGAGCTAAGTACAGTCATATATAATTGCCGTTATTCTCACATTAAGCTGCAGGGAAGTGGCAAACCCAATTAGATTAAATCCTACCACGTCTCCTTGGGATTTGTGGTAGACATTTAAGCAGAGAGACGTGTCACTTCCAGAGACCAATTTGCTTGTACCTGTCTGCTTAGATTTATTGTGATTTGTCCTTGGTTTTGTGTATGTTTGTTTGCAGAAGCCAGCTCCAGATGCAAAACACATCAGCGGAGCTTTGGAACATTATTTTTAATTAGCTGGGTTCAGTTTCTAGTAACATGCTTGAATTGCTTCTGGGCTACTAATGGAGTGTGGAAAATAAATATTGTTGCTCTCAGATATGTTTTTTCTGGTTACAGAAAACTTCCCCTGCTTTGGCAGGGGGGCTTTATGTGCCATGAGCCTCAGAACACGGGGCAGCCAGTCCAGACAGCAAGTTACAACTGAGTTGTCCTCAGTTTTGCTCTCCTTTATAAAACCCCAATAGAAATCCTAATTATACCGGAAGATATTACAGAAACTGCAGGGGAAAGTTGAATTTATTTTTGTTTCTTTCTGCAACTGAACTGAAATGGGCAAAGTTTACCTCAGTCGACACCTGGAAGAAATAGGGCATAAATCAGATACTGAAATGTGGGTCCTAATGCCAAGGAAGAGGATTTGCTTCTCTCTGCCAGGTGTAGTTTTGTGTTCTATACATTTGTATGAGGAAACAGCAAACCCTTTTATTCTCCTTTGTATTCTGTGCTTGTGGAAGTGACTGTACGAGGAGCAGCAGATGAAGGGGCTGAGGATGGGATATGCAGACAATTGCTTGTTTTCTTTGCAGGAAAACATCACTCAAAAATCATTTCCAGGCTAAGACATATCACCCAGGACACCTTTCTTCTTTCAAAGGGAGGAAACAGCGCAGGTTGACACCAAAGACCAGAGTTCAAAGTTTCCACAAAGCAAGGGCTGCCTCCATCTGACAAATCACATAGTTAAATTCCAAGTGAGCGAGCCTAAAGCCCTGCAGCGCTGAAAGCATTTGGATTAGGATAATTGTGGTTGCAAATTGCCTTCCTTACAGGGAGTGTGAACCTCCAGCCACGGAGTGACTGGATGTCCATCCACGAGGTGTTTCCATTCAGGCTTTCACCATGGGAAGGGATTTTACAAAGCTCAGGTGGGCACTGGCTGGGGACCGCAGCAGACTCCAGCGGGCAGGCTGAGCTTACCTGGAGTGATGGATAACCCCAGAAAGCCGGGAGAGGTGTTCAAGGGCAGGCTCTGGGCAGGCTCTGTGCAGGCTGTGGGGCTGGAGCAGCAGCAGGAGCTGCCTTGCAGTGTGAGCTGGAATGGCGGTAGGGATGCCATCTGCTGCTCGCAGGGGGAATCGCTGGGAACGAGGCTCCAGGAACATTCCCCTCAGAGTTTTTGCTGCGTTTGTGTGGTTCTGTGTGTGTGCATGGATACCACGTTTTATCCATGGATATCCCGTTGCAGTGATGCGTTTGGGGCAGTGCAGCTCAGCAAAGAGTCCGAGGTGCAAAATGGGTAAAGGCAGAAATGAGGTCACGGGGTGAGAGAGCAGCAAATGGAAATTCCGCATCTCGTGATCCCATTTGCTCATCCCAAATGTACTGAAAATTCCTAATGCATCCCTTAAATATTTTCCTGATTGCTGTAGTGTCTCCCCTGGGGGACTCCAAACCACCACAGTGGCTGAAGGAGCACAGTGGGGCACCTGCCAGTCACACTCACATCCATGTGTGCCGTGTCAGGGCCATCAGATCCCAGGGCTGTGCTGCTGCATTTCCAGTCCTGTGGCAGGAGAAACTTCTCCCTGAAATGTGGCCAAGGAGAAGTTAGTTTAATCATGTCAGTGCTTATTTAGATACCAGTAACAGACTGTGGGAACACAATTACATCATTATTTATATCTGCCTGGTGAACTCCTGGGACCGGTGTGATGGTTTGGAAAACAAGTCAGAAGGTGTTTGTTCAATGGCCTCTTCTATTGATTGTTATCAAACAACAACTCATAATTTTGCACAGTGAGAATTTTATGACTGCGGTGATCTGAAGAATGTCTCTGCTCACAAACCAAGCTGCTTATTTAATTAGGTCCTTCTGGCTCTTTGGATTTAATAATTCTAATTAAATTGTTATGGTTATGACTTGCATTTGGATTATGCCCACAGTCTCAATTAGGACTGTGAGAGGACCTCATGAGCACATGGAAGGACACATGGCATTTGGTTTTATCCAAACACTGCTGAGCACAACCACCTTCTGCTGCTTTGTGGCTGCTCAGTGAATGTGAAAAGCAATATGGTTTTCTCGAAGAAGAGCCAAGAGTTCAGTTTTAGACACTTGAGTTCAAAAATTCCTCTGGGATTGTGAGCATTATCTTTAAATATAGTATGGACCCTGTTCTAGCTCTGCTTTGAGGACCCACCATGACTGAGAAACTGGGGTCTTTAAGCAAAGACTACCAGCTGCTCTGGCCAGGCAGATGTAGGGTTTTAACTCTGTTCTTCATGCTAAAATAGTACCTGTTGTTTTTATGTCACAGCCTTGCCTGCAGGAGGCTGATGGGGCAGCTTCTCCAGGGACTGAGAGGGGCAGATGGACCTCGTGGGAGAAGGGAGCGAACGTTCGAAAGGGAAAACCAGGGGACAGGAAGGTGAGTGAATTGCTGGGAGACAGAGAAAGAAAACCTTCTCTGCACTTGCAGTGTTAGGCAGGTGGTCACATGATCAGGAGCTGCAGTTGTAGGAACTTTGGCTGGAAAAGAACCACGTTTGGATAATGGCAGTTGGATCTCATGGAGCACTGAGGATACTTGGATTTTTATAGCCAGCAGTGAGTAAAATGCACTTGACACTTCCAGTTCCATCATTTCAGAGTGTGACAACTAGAAATCCTGTCTTTTTCTTGCTCTGAGAGAGCCATATGCTCCCAGATCCTATTGTCCTTCTGGATGGCACCCAGAGGATGGGAATCAGTGCTAATGGTTGGAAGGAGGGCTGTGACTTGTCCCTAAGAAAGCAGGAACTCTCCTGTCATTAGAAATGTTGGTAGAAATGTGATGTCAATCTGGTGATGGTCCCACAGG